CGGCCTGGAGGTGGCCGAGCTGTACCTACTGGAGGCGACCCCGGCCCTGGTCCTGGGCGTCGACGCCCCCGAGGGAGCGGGCGGCCAGGCAGAAGGCGCGGCGTTCACCGAGGTAGGCCATGGCACCGGGAACGACTCCCCCTGCGCAAAGACCCAGGTACCACATTTGTGGAAAGTAAACGTATAAAGAAAAAGCGTTGCCGGGCGCTGGGGGCTCACGCCTGACATCCTGAGATCTGAGGATCCCAGTTCAAAACCAGCCTGGGCAGGAAAGGCCGTGGGAACCTTATCCCCAACTGAGTATCAAAAGGCCGAGAGTGGAGCTGTGGTTTGAGTGATCCGATCACCAGCTTTGTGCACAAGGCTGAGCTTCAGCATCCAGGCCTCGAGTTCAAGCCCCATTACAGGCACAAAAAAATAGTCTTATTAGTGCAGCATTTCATATAGACAAGGCATTTTTGCAGTTTGAAATTAAACACTCAAGAAGGGAACGCGAGAGATGGCGGGGCTGGCGATGTGGCACCGTGGTCAAGTGCCTGCCTAACAAGGGCCCAGTCCTGAGTTCCAAGTCAGGAATTAAAAATAAAAGTTCAGTATTAGATGCAGTTGGCTAAAGTGCATTATCTGCATGTGTGTAAATACCATGGAAACCCCTTGTACAATTAATGCACGTTATCTTTAATCATAAAATTAAGCCCAGTAAAAAATGTTTCCCAAGAAAGTCATGAGGTCTTTATTTTTATTTTTTTATTTTTTTTGGGTCCGGTCGTGGGGCCTGAACTCTGGGCCTGGGTGCTGTCCCTCAGCTCTTCAGCTCAAGGCTAGTGCTCTACCACTTGAGCCACAGCGCCACTTCCGGCTTTTTTCTTTTTGCTTATGTGGTGCTGAGGAATCGAACCCAGTGCCTCGAGCATGCAAGGCAAGCGCTCTACCACTGAGCCACCTTCCCAGCCTCTATTTTTAAAAAAATATTTAAGTAGGTGGCTTACGTCTGTCATCCTACCTACTCAGGAGACTGAGATCTGAGGATTGCAGTTCAAAGCCAGCCTGCGCAGGAAAGTCTGTGAGACTCTTATCTCCAATGAACCACCAGGAAACCAGAAGTGGTGCTGTGGCGCAAGTGGTAGAACACTCGCCTTGAGCTGAAGAGCTGAAGGACAGTGGTGCCCAGGCCCAGAGTTCAAGACCCATGACAGACCAAACCAATAATAATAATAATAATCACCGGAATCCTGTAGGGTGCATCACAATTTTAAATAGAAAGGTTTCAGTTTGTCCATAAAAACCCTTGATATCAAATAATTCTTGTGTTTGCCCTGGGTTGAAATGCAGTTTCTAATTTTTTCTTTTCTGTAGTAGTCGCTAGTGTGAGCAGGCAGGCCTGCGTGGGGACTTGCGTGGGATTGTAACTAACTGTGATATCTGCCTGAACTCTGATTTTCACGAGCAGCTTGAGAAAGGTCAGGAGCAGCCACCTGAAGGAGGACTGGCCGCCAGCACTCAGGAGCAGTTCTTCCTCTTGCAAGTGAGGCCCGGGGATGAAGGAAAAGACGAAATGATTCTGACAATTTCCAACTTAAAAGTTGAAGCACAGCCAGAGAGACTGACCACCGGTCTAGCCAATGTGGAAAAGCCCACAGCCAGGAACAGCCAGAGGGAGACAGTGGGTAGGCACCCTTTGGCTTCTCTTTGTGGGAAAGTTGGTGGTGGTTCAAGTTTTAAGTGGTTGATTTAGTTTATCTTCGAAACGTCAGGAAATGGGAGATGTTTTAAGCTGATGTTGTATTGTGCACTGAATCTCAAAGGGTTTTGCATTTTTTTCCACACAAACTCCCCCCCCACATCCCACTGGTCCTGGAGCTTTAATTCAGTGCCTGGGCACTGTCCCCTGAGCTGCTTTGTGCTTAAGGTTAGTACTCTACCGCTTGACCCACAGTGCCATGCCCAGCTTTTTTGAGTTGCTTATTGGAGATCAGTCTCACATGGGGACTTTTGTTGCTCAAACTAGCTTCAAACTGCTATCCTCAAATCTCAGCCTCCTGGGTAGCTAGGATTACAGGCGTGAGCCACTGGCCCCCGGCTCTCACAAACATTTTAGAATCACAGTGGGAATGTTCCACAATGCATTAGGCACATAAATAGAAGGTTCGGCCATGGTCTCTGCTCTCTGGTCTCAGTACAAGAAACTGGGGCCAGGTGAGCTGGGCAGAGCCACTCCTTATAATTCAGAATCAGCGATTGCGAGGAATGACGTCTCAGGCCACCCAAGTAAAAAGTTCACAAAATGTCATCTCATCCAGTAAAAAATTGGGTATGATGCTACATGCCTGTCATGTAGGTGTTCGGGAGACTAGGCAAGAAGGTGGCCATTCAGGCCAGCCAGGGCAGAAACTGGAGTCAAGCAAAACAGGCTGGTGGAATGGATCGGGTGGTATGATGCCTGCCTAGAAAGCCCGGGTCCCTGAGTCCAGAACTGGGAGGGGGCAGTGACGGTCAGGGCGACAGGCCTTGCTCCGGAGAGGGAAGAGCAGGCTTTTGGGCCTTGAGGCAGAGAGCCTTCCTTCAGAAGGAAGAAGGCCCGGGAGAGCGCAGTCATGGGTGCAGGCAGCAGGGTGTGCAGGTCCTGTCCGTGGCTCAGCCCGTGGGGAGAGCCTGCGTGGAGCGGTGAGGTGGACAGGAGGACTGTGACATTACCCACAACAGCATCTCAGTCATTCCAGAAGCATCTCATCCACAAGCCCAGGGGCGGATTTGATCTTCAAAAATGACTTGCTTAGCCTCGTTTTATGTTTTTTGTTTGTCAGTTGTGGGGCCTGAACTCTGGTCCTGGGCGCTGTCCCTCAGCTCTTCAGCTCAAGGCTAGCACTCTACCACTTGAGCCACAGCGCCACTTCCGGCTTTTTTCTTTTTGCTTATGTGGTCCTGAGGAATCGAACCCAGGGCCTTGTGCATGCGAGGCAAGCGCTCTACCACTGAGCCACTCTCCCAGCCCCCTTGGCCTCATTTTTAAGAAGTAATAGGTTCTTGATACTTGGGAGGCAGAGGTGGAGCTGTGGCGTCAGCCCTAGCCTGCTGAGCACAGTGGCCTGCGCCTCCACTCAGGGAAACACAAAGGGGAGGGTTGCAGTCCAGATGAGCTTGGGTATCCAAAGCAACATCTTACTTCAAAATGAACGTGAGGAGGGATGACAGGGTGGCTCAAGGGGTGGGCATCTACCCAGCGTGCTTGAGATTCTGAGTTCAAACACCAGTGTGGGGGGAGAAGGGGGGTGGGGGGGAGTCCAGTCCGCACTTGTTCTCATCAAGATGTTTTGTCCCAGTCAGCTCAAGGCAAGCGCTCTACCACCTGAGCCACAGCGCCACTTCCAGTTTTCTGGTGGCTCATTGGAGATAAGAGCATGATGGACTTTCCTGCCCAGGCTGGCTTTGAACCGCGATCCTCAGATCTCAGCCTCCTGCGTAGCTAGGATGACAGGCGGGAGCCACTGGCACCGGCTGAATTTTTAGTGATTTTTATTTTGAGTGTCTTCCTGGGTCTTCAGAACTTGGGATTCGCTGGGCCTTGTCCCCTCAGCCACACGTGGCCGGCTGGACCCTCACTGTGTCCAGTCCTCTAGCCACGCCCAGCCGCCGTCTGGGTGGAGGACGCAGTTCACCCTGTGGGCTGCACCCCTCCAGGGCCTTTCTGGAGATTTCTCCCTGCTCTGAGCAGGCATTTAGTGTCATCTGTCCCCTGGAATCGGAGGCTGGCCTGCCCAGTGTGGTGCACAGAGCAGCCTGTGGGACGGGCGATCTCCCGGCGGCGCCCCGAGTACACAAGTCCCTGTCTCCTCTGTGTAGACACAAAATGCGCCTTCCGCTGCAGCGTCTGCCCATTCGCCACCTCGGGGATCTCGAGTCTGAACCGCCACATGAAAACGCACACCAGCGGGAAGGCACACGTGTGCCACCTCTGCCAGAAGGCGTTCCGCACCGTCACGCTCCTACGCAACCACATCAACACGCACACAGGTGAGGGGCGGCAGCAGCCTCCGTGCACCTGCCCACCAGCTGCTTCACCGCCCACACCAGCGCCCCTCACCGGAGCTTCCCTAGCCCCCCCCCCAGGCGTTGGGGTACACGCACCACAGGCTGGGCTGCACCCCGTGTGGAGAGCCTGCCTGGTGTGCTTGAGGCCCTGGTGCGCACACACGCACACACAACACAAATCTCCCATGGCTCCTGTGTATCCTGTTACCCTCCTGTCCCAGGACAGGTTGCTGGTGACGTGTCTTACGTTCTCACGTCCACGGCGACGTGGGAGCATGTGCGTGAGCGGGAATCGGACGGTCAAGGCTGGGGCTGTCCGGTCTGCGGAGCACTGGGCATGGGGCGCACTCTGTCCCCAGCGCACATTGCGGTTTTGCCCTTTTTGATCTTGAAACTCACTTAAGCGCCCTGAGAAGACAAAAGATTTCTCTTGCAGCCTTTGGTGTCGATGGTTTAAGGAGCCTCTTGAGAGGCTCACGCGTGTCATAGCTACTCAGGAGGCTGAGGTCTGAGGATCTTGGTTTAAAGTCAGCCCAGGCAGGAAAGTCCATGAGAGGCTAATCTCCAATTAATCACCAGAAAACTGGAAGTGGCGCTGTGGCTCAAGTGGTAGAGCACCAGTCTTGAGCTGAAGAGCTGAGGAACAGTGCCCAGGCCCTGAGTTCAAGCCCCAAGACCGACCAAAAAAAAGTATAAAATCCTTCCGAATTCTGTCTTAAAGCCTGTGCTTTGGCAGGAACCAAGCCCTACAAGTGTGTGGAGTGCAATGCAGCGTTTGTGACCAGCGGGGAGCTGGTGCGGCACCGGCGCTACAGACACACCCACGAGAAGCCCTTCCGCTGCTCGCTCTGCCAGTATGCCAGCGTCGAGGTACGTCTCTCTACTCCCTGCTCGCTCTCCTAGAGGTTCTGGGGTTTGAACTCAGGGCCTCAAGCCAGCTCATCCATCTGACACTCAACACTCAGCTCTTTGCTGGTTGTTGTAGAGATGGAATCTCTGCTACTTTTTTTCCTGCCTGGGTTAGCCTTGGACGGTGATCCTCAGGATCTCAGCCTCCGGCGTCTCTAGCATGACAGGTGTGAGCTGCCAGTGCCCCGGCTCCCATCTGTTTCTACGTGTCCGCTGGGGTGTAGAGGGCGCCGAGCCCTGGTGGCCAGCCCAGTCGGGAAGGGATGTGGGCACCCTTGAAGGGGGTGGCGTGAGTTTCGGTTCAGCCCTGAGGCAATTGGGTTTCGCAAGTGAAGAGATTGCACAGAGGGGTCAGAAGAGGTTCCAAGAATGCGTTTCTGCTCTCGCTGTGCATCAAGGCTCTTTCTCATGTCAGCTAAAGGTTGGCTTCGCGGCTGCGGGCACAGAGGTCCCCGAGGGTTCTGAGCTGGGTGAGCAGCCTTCTCCGTTGAATTTCAGGCCTCTCTGGGTCCCTGCCCCAGTGCTGTGGGCGCTGGTGCCAGGGTCCCTTGCAGCCTGGGGATGGATGGGCTGGGGTGCCGGACCCCTGCTGCTCTCCCCTGATGTGAGCCATTTCCAGCTCGGCCTGGGTCTGTGCGGAGAAGGGCCTGCCCTGCACTCTCCATCTCCCCATCACCCAGGGAGAGCGGCGGCAGTGCACGCAGCCAGGCCCAAAGCCTTCGGGCCCTGCTGGCCTCACATCCCACCAGCCACCCAGACGCGAGCCTTGGGTTCCCAGCCTTGTCTGGCGCCTGAGAGTCTTCAGGTGCCTGTGTGGAAGCAGACGGGGCTAGCCTGCCCGAGGTCCCGTGTGCGGCCAGCTGTGAGCAGCCCAGCACGGGCAGGAGGCTTCTACCTAGCGGCCTGGGTGTGCCCAACGGGGCAGAGGACGTCCCCGCAGGACGCGAGCCACAGCCAGCCCGGCTCAGCGTCCCCTGTCCCAGGGCATGTCCAGACTCAGTGGTGTCCCCGTGTCCCAGGCCAGCAAGCTGACCCGCCACATCCGCTCGCACACGGGCGAGCGCCCCTTCCAGTGCCACCTGTGCAGCTACGCCAGCAAGGACGCCTACAAGCTGAAGCGCCACCTGCGGACCCACTCAGGTGAGACTCGCAGGAGCGCGGCTGCCTTTCTAGAACCTTCTCTCCAGTGGCAGAGCTCAGCCTTCATGGGTGCGTTCCTGCTGATGGGTTAGCAGGAAGGGGGACGCAGGCCCAGCAGGTTGTGGCCCGCAGTGAACGCAGGCCCCGGGTAGCCCTTGCCGCTGCAACTCAGGTGTTTAACTGAGTCCATGCTTCCATGTACCCTGGGGCTGTGCATGCGCAGAGTGCTCTAGCAGACACTGAACACTCGGTGTGTTGTGTAAGGAGTGCGTGTGTGTGCACATGCATGCGGGCGCTCCTCCTGTGGATAAGAACATGGGCAGGTGGGAAGTCCCAGGTGCTGGGGAGCCCGTGGTCAGCCACTCGCACGTGGCTGGGCCCCGCGCTGAGCCACGCAGAGCACGGTGCTTGAGACCACGCTTGCAGCTTGACTTGGGCACCTGATGGGAATGGAAGCCGGGCCCAGTGGAAAGGGTGGGGGTGCACCCCAGAGCAGCTTCCCCCCTTGTCTGTGTCGCAGGAGAGAAGCCGTACGAGTGCCAGGTCTGCCACGCCCGCTTCACCCAGAGCGGCACCATGAAGATGCACGTGGCTCAGAAGCACAGTGAGAATGCGCCCAAACACCAGTGCCCCCGCTGCGCCACCCTCATCGCCAGGAAGAGCGACCTGCGTGAGTGTGCAGCGTGCTCGGCCTGCCCGAGGCCGGCTCCCTGGGCCGGGAAACTTGGAGGCACCATTTTTTTCCAGAGGTCTTATGGTGCCATCTGGTGGCCAGGCTGGTTAAGTGCCATCCACAGGCTGTCACGATCCTGGCCTAGGCTTGTCCACTTTCACAGAGACCTGGTGGACACCCGCACCCCACAGCTTTCTCAGTCTAGTGTTGCTGTGTTTGGGGACATACAGAAACCTGCCAGGCGTCCGAGGAGGTGGGTGGGCCGTAGCTCTGCCCTGCCCTGCCCGTGTTCTCTCCAGGCACCTGGGCTAGACGCAGACTGACGCCGTCGTGCCCTCCGTGGTGGTGTGGCTCAGGGGCATCACAGGCAGGAGGGGACTCTGCCTGGGGCCAGCGCTGCGTTCTGGCAGTCACCCAGCCTGGGACAAGGGAGTGGGGGCTACTCCAGGGTGGGCCCTCAGATTTCAGTTCGTCTCCCGGGGCTCAGTTGTAACGTGGGGAATCACCCCACCGTCTCCCAGCAGAACAAAACAAGTGTGATCCCCACTGGGCAAAACTCCTCTGTTACCCTAAAGTTCACCTCAGCGGGCTCCGGTGAGTGTGTCCCTGGCCGCCGGGGCGGGGAGGCGGGTCCGCAGGCCCCAGCACGCTCTGTGCTCTGCTGTGCCCATGCAGGTGTGCACCTGCGCAACCTGCACGGCTACAGCGCCACGGAGCTCACGTGCCGCCACTGCCCCGCCGCCTTCCGCGAGCGCTACGCCCTCCTGCAGCACCAGCGGAGCCACAGGAGCGAGAAGCCGTTCGTGTGCCAGCACTGCGGCTACGCCTGCCAGCAGGTGCGTGCTTGGCCCCCGGGGAGAACGGGGCACAGGGCCCTGGCTCCGGGTGGGGGGCAGGGAGGTGGAGCGGGGTGCTCTTACCTTGAGAACCTGGGGGAAGCCATGCTTCAGTTGTTCAGAGGACCAGAACCAGCCAGAGTCTTGGGGGAGGGATGGGTCCCCAGCCATCACACCTCTCAGAACTGGGGCTAGAAGCCAGGCGCTGCGCCGCTCAACCGTGCCCCCAGCCCTCACCCCCTGTGTAAGCCAAGCAGGAGTCTTGGCAGCATCCCGGCAGACGCCCGTGGAAGTGTCCATGGCTGTGGGGCCCCCGGCGCTGGCTGCGGGAACCAAGGGCCCGTCACTCAGGAATGGGAAGTGGTGGTGGCTGGTCTTCACGTCCTGTGTGAGGAACAGGAGGTGACACGAGAGAGCCCGGTGTCCGGCATGCCAGGGGAGAGGGCGGGTGTCCAGCATGCCAGGGGAGAGGGCGGGCACCAGACTTGCACGGGCCGCTTTCCCAGGGAGGGGCAGCCGCGGGGGAACCACCCCCGCCTACTGGACGCCTGCGTGTCTTCTTAACGTGAACAGCGTGGCCTTGCCCTGCAAGGACATGGGTCATGGGTAGACCCATCCTTCTGAAGGAAAGAGCGCTTTGAGTTTTGGAAGTCTTATTTTCATTGCTGAGGGCTGATAGCTCTCTGGTCCTTAATGGCGTTCCTCTGGCGTGGCTCTGAGAAGGGTGTGTGTGTGTGTGTGTGTGTGACTGCGTGTCAGTGTTGAGAGTTTTGAACTCAGAGCCTCAAGCCTGACTTGCTCACAGTTGGTACTCTACCACTCTAGCCCAGGATTTTGTTGGTTATTTTTAGAGGTAAAGGCCTGAAAAGTTGTGTTCAGGCAGGGCTGGCTTTGAACCTGCATTTTCAGAGCTTAACTCCTGAATAGGATTAGCGGCGTGAGCCACTGGTGTGCAGAGCGTTTGGCCCGTTGCATGCTGGTTTGTGAAATGTGTCTGCAGTGGCAAAGTCTTCATAGCTCAGAGCCCGGGTTCTTGCCCACACCTGGCCTGTGGAATGCATCTCGCACTGGAGATCATTCACCAGGCCGCCAGACACGGGCCGCCAGAGTGGGCACGCTCAGTGTGGCTTTACCCTCCACAGTGCCACCAAACTAAGAAACCACCTGTGGAGTCTGAGTGTGAAATCAAGGCTTAGTGAGCACAAGGATCTGACATCTTGCTTTTCGGTGGGTTTTCCTCGCACCATCGGCGAGGCCTGCGGCATCAGGAGCAGGGTCTGCGGCGGCGGAGGGTGTCGGGCACAGCGCGGCTGAGTCGCGTTTCAGATGGCAGTGGATGCTTAGTGGCTGTGGACCTCATCCTGCCACACACATGTGGGGAGGGAGAGGGAGAGAGTTCACGCTCACTTCGCCCACATGTCCCTATGTTGGCCTGAGCCCCGGATGCTCTCGCGTCTGTCCGCCCGTGTAAACTCGGCGACTTCAACTGATTCTGTGCAAGTAGGACTCCAGAGGCCTCGTGACTCGGGGCAGTCAGAGTTGCTCACCCCAAGGTGGGCGCTTCGGCCTTCCCCACGGGACCTTCCGACAACACGGGCGACCAGCGTGTCGGGCTGGAAGGGCTGAGTGTCAGCCTCTCACAGACACGGGGACGCTTCCCACTGCCGCTGCGTGCCACCTGCAGGTCACTCCCGGTATCAGCTGTGTCCCTCTAGGTGCTGCGTGCCAAGTTCAGGTCACTTCCGGGGTCAGACAGGACCCTCTTGGTGCTGCATGCCAAGTTCAGGTCACTTCTGGGGAGACAGGACCCTCTTGGTGCTGCATGCCAAGTTCAGGTCACTTCTGGGGTCAGACAGGACCCTCTTGGTGCTGCATGCCAAGTTCAGGTCACTTCTGGGGTCAGCTGTGCCCCTCCCCCCCAGGAGTGGCACCTGGCGGCCCACAGGCGCATTCATACGGGAGAGAAGCCCTTCGCCTGCCCGGCCTGCGGCAGATGCTTCCGGCAGACCCAGCTGCTCAGTGTGCACATGAAGAAGTACCAAGATCCCAGCTTCGTCCCCACCGTCCACCAGTGCCCCGGGTGTGGCAAAGGCTTCTCCCGCGAGGAAGCTCCCAGAGCCACGCACACGCAGTACGGGCCCCGGGAGGAGAAGGGGCCACCCCGTGTGAAGACCCGCCTGCATCGGGGGCAGCAGGAGAGGGCTCGGCTCTGAGACCCCCACTGTGTGGAGAAGGAGCGGGGTCCCCTCCCGGAAGGGATGTCCTCCACGCACGTCCTTGCAGGTGGTTTGGGGCTTCCTGAAGAACCTGAGTTTTGGAGCAGACATTGACTACCTTGCAGTTTCTGGGGTTGGCATGGGCGGGCCCAGCTGCCAGGCTGAACCAGATGTCCACAGGACTTGCAACATGGCACGGCGGCTGTCCCAGCCGCCGCTCGAGGTGGGTCAGCAACTGGCTGTGGGCAGAGGCCTGGTTTCCTTTCCATGGGGCCCTCTCTGTGGGGCCCCACGGGGCCCTCCTCAGGACCCCAAGCAAGTGGCAGTCCAGGGCCTTTGCGATGTGCCAGTGATGTAAGACTGTAATTGCAGCTACGCGAGAGGCAGAGACCATGAGGATTGAAGTTTGAGGCCAGTCCAAGCAAAAAGGTAGAGAGCCTTCATTTCTGTGGACAAGCTAGGGATGTTTCTATAATCTCAGAGTTCTGGAGCCATAGATAGGTCAGCCTGGACAGAGAAAAAGACCTGATCAAAAAAATAAGTAGAGGTAGAGGTGGACAGGAAGACAAGACGTGATCAAAAAAGACACAGTAGAGGTAGAGGAATGGGTTAAATGGTGGAGCATCTGCCTTAACAAGCCCAAGGCTTTGAGTTGTCAAACACTGCACCGTCCAAACAACAGAAAACAACATGGCACAGGGTTCTTTCAACCCCAGCATGCGCTCTGGAGAAAGAATGAAGTTCACTGAAAGCAGGAGTGTTGGGCCTTTGTGACAGCGAAAGACGCCTACATGGCTCATTGGCACTCAGCTTGGGGTGAGCTTCTGAGGGAACCAGCCCTCGGTGCCGCTTAGAATACAGCACTCAGGCCAGATTAAAACTATGGAGAGGTGAGGTGGTTTAGTAGAACAGTCAGAAACAGACATTTCCCTGATGCAAGAAAGAAGAGAGAAGCCAGGGGCCCCTCTGAAGTCTCAAGACGGCTCTTCTGTCTAAGAAAGCATATCCGAACGTGTGCCTGGACCTTGTGAAGAACCTCACAGCTCAGTGGCAAGACTCACTTGAGCCTGGTGGTGCATAGACCCGCAGTCTCAGCACTCAGATTTCACAGTCCAGATCTCGCTTTGTGAGAACTTGTCTCAGAGACTGCTAGCAAATAAGCAAAAAGCCAAAACATAATGAAAATATCTAAGTAGACATTTCTCCTAAGAAGTCAGTGGACTGCCAACAAGCACTTCAAAATACACAGTGCTATGTCATCGTGGAACACACGCACACACACACACCAGCCCAACTTCCCAGGGAGCAGTTGACAGCTCCCATCCACAGAGACGCTGTTGGGGATCCAGCAGTCCACCTTGGAAACAGCAGGCCCTCAGAAAGTAAACGCAGCATTCAGGTAACCGCTTAGTGGTGGTGAGTTGTGTGTTTTTGTTCATTGTGGCGTGGTCTTTTTATCTGCAATTCTGTTGTGAGTGAAAACTGCACTGGGTAGAATGTTCTGGGTTTTTAATGTTTGGCATCATGTCGCTGCCAGCCCTCTCTGCTCTGCCCATGGGCTTTCCTTTGTAAGTGACCCGTTTCTTACCTCTCTCCACAGCTTCCTGCAGCTTGGCTTGTTTGTGCTTATTGTTTTAACCATAATGCATTGTGGAGATGTTCTTTTCTGTTCTGGTGTTTTGGATATTCTAAACGCCTGTGGTCAGTGCCCAGACCAGCTACGCCCTGTCCAGGCTTGGGAGGTTTTATGCTATTATTCTGTTGAATATGGACAGCCTCTCCCCACACTGTTGGCCAATCTCTCTTCTCCTTCATCAATGCCCATCAAATGTAAGTTTGGTCTTTTAGTTCTCACAGATTTCTTTTTTAAATGTTGTAAAGGTGCTGTTCAGAGGGGTTACAGTTACGTGAGGAAGGTGATGGGTACATTTCTTGTAGAACATTGTTACCCATGTCTTAGTTTTTTCTTCCACTATCTCCCCCTCACACACATATACCCCCACTCAGCAAATTTCTTTACAGTTCTTTGATTTTTCCCCCTATTCTTCCCTTTCTGCTCGAGCTCAAGGACTCTTACCTTCCGTGTGGACTCGTCTGCTGCAGGGGTGTCCACTTCCTTCATCTCTCAGCCTTCTGGTTATTTTTCAGGATTTCTCCCTCCATTTGGATCTCTATTTTCTCATCAGGCATTAATTCTCTACTTCATTTAATCTCTTGTAGCCATTTACCTGCGTCCTCTTTATTAGGAATTCACTTAACGTTTTGTCTGTGTTTCCATTGAATTCCTTTGTGTGCTTCCTTGGTGTCATTGCTTACAGATGCTTTCGTTTCATTGACGGTTCTTTTTGGGGAGTGGAGGGCAGTAGTAAGATCCTTAAAAGTAAATGTCATATCATGTGCTTGGTATAATAGGTACCTTCTTTTATTCTGGTCAGCTCGGAGCCTGGGCACTGTCCTTGAGTCTCTCTCTGCTCAAGGCTAGTGCCCTGCACTTGAGCCACAGCGCCACTTCTGGTTTGTAAGTGGTTAACTGGAGGTAAGAGTTTCATGGGGACTTTTCTCCTGGAGCTAGCTTCAAACCGAGATCCTCAGATCTCGGCCTTCTGAGTAGTTGTGCATTCATTGTCCATTCTTACCAACAGTCCTTTGAGCTCAGGGTCTGGGATTTCCTTCACTTGGTTGTTGTGTGGAGGTAGTTTGTTTTCTCAAGTTTCTTGTACTTCTGTGCTGGTCTGCTCGCTGGCAGACCCGTGGTGGGCTGCACCATTGCTCTCTGTGGTCTCCAAGCGTGCTGTGGGGTTCTGTGGTCTTTGTGGCCTGGGTTAGGCGGGTTTCTAACATCTTCCTCACCCTTGGTGTGGAGGTGTGTCTCGGCACTAATGTCTCCAGTTCAAAACCCAGAGAGAGGTCTACACACAGGACGAGACCATCCGTGGCCCTTGTCTGTGCCCCTGGCCGCCGTGAGGCTCCAGGGCAAGGCTGTGGGGGTACAGAGAAGCTACTGGACTGCGAGGATGGCCCGGATGACAGGGCTCCTCCGGGGCAGACCCCAGCCCAAAGCCCAGTGCCTTCCCGCCCCTGCTCGTCCGCTGGGCTCTTGTCATTCACAGAGAGAGCTTGGCACCACTCTGCCTCCCAACTTCATGTTCACAACGTGAAATAATTTACAGACTGAATGCTTGTTAACACACAGTGGTCACAGTTGGTGAGCACACCAGCTGGTGCACAGCCTGCCCGGGTCCAGCCACGAGAGCCCCGCGCTTGGCCACAGCTCCTCTCCAGGGTCACAGCTTCTCCTCTCCGAGGTCACGGCTTCTCTGGGGTCAGCATCACCTCAGTAGTGACTCTCTCAAGGGTCACAGCTTCTCTTTGGGATCACAGCTTCTCTCTGGGGTCACAGCTTCTCTTCCATGATGGTTTTTCACATTTCTTTACCCCAAGTGAATGAAACCTGCCATCTTTAAGCAGCTCATTTATTGACTCCTTGCAGCGCTGGGAATGGAAGCCAGCCCCGCAGACCTTTCTGCAGTCTGCCACTGGGTTCCGTCCATACCTGCAAGCTACTCTGCTGAACCTGTGTATGTGTGTGTGTGTGTGTGTGTGTGTGCGTGCATGTGTGTGCGTGCATGTGTATGTGGTGTGTGTGTGTGTGGTGTGTGTGCGTGCATGTGTGTGGTGTCTATATGTGGTGTGTGTGTATGTGTACTGTGGCATGTGTACATGTGTTTGGTATGTGTTTTGTGTGCGTGGTATGTGTGTGGTATGTGTGCGTGTGTGTGTATGTGATGTGTGTGCGTGTGTGGTGTGTGTATGTGTGGCATGTGTGCATGTATTTGGCATGTGTGCAAGTGTTTGGTGTGTGTGTGGTGTGTGTGTGCATGTGTGTGGTGTGTGTGTGCATGTGTGTGGTGTGTGTATGTGTGGCATGTGTGCATGTGTTTGGCATGTGTGCAAGTGTTTGGCGTGTGTGCGTGTGTAGGTGCATGTGTGTGTGGTGTGTGTGCATGTGTGTGGCGTGTGTATGTGTGGCATGTGTGCATGTGTGTGGTGTGTGTGTGCATGTGTGTGGCGTGTGTGCATGTGTACGTGTGGTGTGTGCATGTTTGGCGTGTGTGCATGTTTGCCGTGCGTGTGGTGTGTATGCGTGCATGTGTGTATGTGTGGCATGTGTGCATGTGTATGTGTGGCGTGTGTGCATGTTTGGTGTGTGTGCGTGTGTGGTGTGCATGCGTGCATGTGTGTGGTGTGCGTGCATGTGTGTGCATGTGGCATGTGTGCGTGTGTACGTGTGGCGTGTGTGCATGTTTGGCTGTGTGTGGTGTGTGTACATGTGTGTGTGTGTGTGTTTGGCGTGTGTTGTGGCGTGTGTGTGGCATGTGTGCATGTGTACGTGTGGTGTGTGTGCATGTTTGGCGTGTGTGTGGTATGTATGTGTGCATTGTGTGTATGCGTGGCATGTGTGCATGTGTACGTGTGGCGTGTGTGCATGTTTGGTGTGTGTGTGTGTGTGTGTTTTCTCACTACAGAACAGACATAGCCGCTCTCCAGCCCTGAGCCCAGCTGCACGGAGGGCACACTGGGCTTGCGCATGCATCCACTAGGGCAAAGGGCTGACAGCACTCTTCCACCTCCTGGGGACTCCGTTGAGCCCTAGCCGAGAAAAGCAGCTTGTGGCACGCGTTCTAAGTCCCCTCTCTGTTTACATCCCGTCCCAGGTGGCCATGGCGGGCTCGGTGAGTGGCTGCCTGGACCTGAGCCCAGGCAAAGCGCCTGCGCCCTGGAGTAGCTCCAGCCCCACCTGCCTGAGAACGGAGCCGGGCTGCCGCTAGTGAACTTGAGACACCCATCCTTCACTCGGCACGTGAACTCTCCAGACTGAACTTTGGGAGTTTTTCTTTTTGTATTATGATTATATTGTAAACACCTCAGTGAGGAAATTTCCCATCTAGAATTTATTTAGTTCTATGAAGGTCAAACAAGTTTTTCTAGCTGGTTTGACCCCGTCGGGTGTTCCCTGCGTCAGACTCGGGGCGGGCTTGCCTGGGCCGCGGTTCTGTCTCTGGTGCCAGCCCTGTGTTTGTCTGCCGCCGTGTCCTGTGAGCTCTGGAGGTCAGGAGCAGCAGGGCGCTGCCCCCTCCGCAGTGGAGCGTGATAGCACTGTGATGAGTTCAAATCCCGCTTCCCTCGGTCCTCACGGAGAGACTACGAGCTCTGGAGAGCAGCATGGCCGCTCTCTGACTTAGTTCACTAAGACCATGAAAGCAAGCTGGTGTTGCGCAGCTGCGCGGACGCCAGGGTTGGCTCCAGGCGTCCTCCGCGCTCCTGCTGTCCACACGGGTCCTGGGGCCTGCACGGGGCCGTGGTGTGCTCTGCGTGACCTGTGTCATTTCTCCCACAGCATAACATGCACCGCCACACGGAGCAGTGCGGCCTGGCACCGGAGCACCCCGGCCTCTCGGGCGAGGGTCGGGCGGGGAAGAGCGCGCCGGCGGACCCCGGACCCACGGGCTGCAGGGATGGTACGTTGTGTGCGTGTCGTGTTCCCCGTGTGTGGACTCGTGGTGCAAGCGTCTGCCCACTGCGCACGCGCAGCCCCGGCCCAGACCTGGAAGGCGCCTGGCTGTGCCTGACTCCGCTGTTCCCGCGGCGCCTCCCAGCACCCCACGGCTCCATGCAGCACCCCACTAATTGCGGCCATGCTGGCAGGCTCAGGCAGCCGGTGAGGCCCAGGGTTCATCACCCCTCTCATAAGGCTCAGGAGGAAAGAGAAAAGTCAGTGAGGGTCTGAGGGGTGTGCACAGTGCCACGCACCTGTACACACCTGCACACAATACAGGTACACACACAGGTGCCCAGCCACGGACACAGACACACACCGCACACTCCACCTCAGGGCACACTGCACAGCGCCCTGACTCCAGGACCAGTGGAGCCCCAGGGGGTCCCTGAGGAGGCTCCATGCCTCCCCCTGTCCCCCCCGCCCGTTCTCTCCCCTCCCCACACCTGTGTCGGGTCGTGAGCCTGTGTGGACCTCACACAACCCACTCCAAGGTCTGTTCCCCAGTGGGGCGGAGGCCAGCGTGGCCCTGCATTCCACCCTCTCACCCACGGGAGTCAGCTAGCGTGGTTCTCAAGTCAGCCCAGGACGGGCAGCCCTGGCACTGCCCGGCGGGCATCTGTCCCTCCCCCCCCGTTTCCTGGACACCAGGACGCCGCCTCCACCTCTGCGTGCCAGGCGCTGCACAGGGTGTTGGGCCCCGCGTGTGGGGGGGAACGGGGGGGCTGGAAGGGCTGGGGAGAGCCGGCCCAGTGCTGCGCACCCCACTCACAAGGTGAGTGCTGGCAGAGCCATGTCCCATGCATGCCGCTGCCCACGACGCCTCCAGGGGCCCGGTTGGAAAGGAAGCGGGTCTCGCCCCTGGCCCAGGATGCCCCCAAGCACCCCCTGGGCCCCAGGGCGCCTGGCTGAGCCCCCGTGTCTTCACTTAAATCTTCTCCTCGTGTCTTTCCCTCAAGATGGCGCTGCGGGGGAGAGCCGCCCCACGCGGGCGGAGCCGGAGGCGGCGCAGCGAGTTGAGAGCAGCAGCATGGCCACGTGACGCCGCCCGCCTCCTCCTGCCCTGCTGAGCAAGTTCGAAACCCGCACTCTTCCCGTAGTTCATAAGTTTGTCTCTGTTGGTCTGTTTGTGGGGAGCAGCCGCAGCATGGCGCTCGGGCGGGGTGGGAGCGAGTCTCAGAAGCTACCGCAGACTGCGTGTGTCGGGCTGGGGACTCGAACCCACGCATTTGTTGTTCCTTTGCTGAGTAACCTTTCCGAGGATAGTGATTTTTCTACAACCAGCCAGGGTTTCTCAACGCTGGAAACTTTACATCGACTTGTACACACCCGAGAAGTTCCAAATCTTAAATTGTTTTAAGCGTCTCATTACGAATATGAATTTACATCCTTTTCATACCAATGAATTTTCCATGAAGTTTAAAACTTACTGTGGTGCTTTTAATTAGCTCTAAAAACTCAACCCAAAATGCTTCTTTAAAAGAAAGGAAATGAAGAGGGGCCCTGAGCGGCAAATGGGGGGGGGGGGCGCAGAGCTGAGTCTCCTTCCGCTTCTGTTGCATTCACGCGTGGAAGCATCGGACTGGCCGGGTGCATTGGGTTCTCCTGTGTTACGATGTTTTCCCCTTGCTCCAGTGACTTCCTGTACAGCTGTAAACCACTGGCCCCGTGAGAAGAAACACAAGGGCTCAGGAAAATGAGTGTGTAAAGAATTCATACTGGCTGGCACCAGTGAGTGCTGAGTACTCCCCCTCAAAACCCACTGGGAAAATAAACCTTCTCAGCTCACTAGGCTGCTGTGCCAGCCCCCCCCCCCCCCCCCCCCCCCCCCCGCCGTGTGCCCCCCACCTGCATGCCGGCGGGCCTCGGCGCACCCCCAGGTCTTCCCAGAGCCCGCCCTTCCCCCGTGGTCTTCCCCACACTGCCAAGGAGCCCTGCCCAGATTCTGCGTCTGCGTGAAAGTGTGGACGCATCAGGAGGGGCAGGTGATCCCAGTAGCCGTGGGTTTCCTCCACTCCACCCCACTCACGCCCAGCCCGGGGTCTGCGGACGCTGCGTGGGGCCTAGGAATTCTCCTGGCGATGTTTTATTTTTTGTAATGTTGGAACACGTTACACAACTCAATAAAATGAATTGACTCAAGATGGCCGCCTTCGTCTCCATGCGATTAGAGGTCACCCTAACTTGGGGGGGCGCCGCGCTGGGAGACACAGGGAAGGCCCCCTCCCCCTCCCCCCTCCCCCCTCCCCGCACCAGCTGCGGGCGGCTCACGGCTGGGACGCAGAAAGCTTCCTCAGAAAAGGCAGACGCCATTCCTTACCCAGCACCCCGTGCCCTGCGCAGCACACAGCACAAGCTGGGGGGGGGGGCAGCGCCCATGCACGGCACGAGCCACGCTGCCGTGGTGGTCTTGCAGGCTTGGGTCTCATGGCGGGCACACGCTCAGGATTACAACAAGCGGTGTCACCCCTAGTGCGTGGGACTCCCCAGGTCATCGTCTGAGTTGGGGGAGGAGCCGGGGGGGACGCCCCACAGGTCCTCATTGGCTGAGTTCTGAGTGGCGTGGCCTAAGTCTCCTTACTTTCTATTGGGAGATTTGAACACACGCACCTCTTGAGCATCGCTGAGTGTGAGAAGCCGCGTGTGGCTGTCCGCTCACTCTGTTCTGTGAGTTCCGGAGTGGTTCTTCAGGTAGGTGCTTCCCGGCGCAGTTTCTACCATTTTCTCATTTTGCCGCCCTCTGTTTCTCCCTTGCTAACGCCCCCCTTCTCGTGGGTCCTGTTTACCTACAGGTGTCCCGATGCGTGAACTTCGTTGCTCCTGGCGAGTTTCTACTCAGCGTCAAATGCCTGGTCTTGAAAATGGGTCACCTCTGGTTGATTGCGAACACCTCCTTATTGGGCTTGCCCCCAAAGGTCAGGCACACTCGGGTGGGTCCCCAGCAGCACTGTCACAGTAACCAAGAGCAGCTCCTCAAGAGAGAGGACGTGTGTCCTGAGCGGAGGAACAGGATGCGGCGTAAAGAGGAAAGCTGCTCGGCCCAGGTGAGGCGTGACGCCGAGAGCTGGGAGCCCGGCCCAAGACACACACAGGCCACTCCCGAGGGCAGGGCTGGCACGTCACAGGAAAAGGCAGTCTGTGGAATGTTCTGGAAAAGATCAGACACAAGCTGCGATGGCCTGGGACTGGGAGATAGTGCCAGCCGCAGGGCCGCATGGATTCCAGGGGTGCCCGTCATGCTCTGCCCGCCCAGGATTGCAGTCAGAGCCTTCAGAGGAAACGAGTTTGGGAGGGAGAAATGGTGTGTTCTGATTGTGTGATGCTTGAGTGGAAGGCTGTGGCAAGCAAATCGGCTGTGGCGTGACCCGAGTTCACCAAATGCCCCAAGAAAGGTGGTAGGTATTTCTAGAGCATTCTACTTGGGTGGCTGCAGTGCCCACGGTGCCCACTAGAGGGCAGTCGACACCTGGCTTCCAGACTTTGAAACTCGCTACTCCGCCTGGCAACTTTACTAGCTTCGCACCTTCACCACAGGGAAGTGAAGCGCGGTGTTTGGTCTTGAATAGCACTGGAGGTGGCTACGTGAAAGGGGCTTCACAGAGGCTAGAATGAAGCTGTTTCCTTGGCTAAATCGGGACCTGCCTTCTTCAAAGGTGAAGGTCCAGGGGGAGCTGCTGGTGCCCACGGACACACAGCTCGCCAGCCTGAAGCCCGTGTTTGCCAGGAGATGCTATTTAAAAAGCAAGACTGCGGGCTGGGAAGGAGGCTTAGCAGTAGAGCGCTTGCCTAGTATTCATGAAGTCCTGGGTTCGACTCCTCAGTACCACATACACAGAAAATGCTGCAAGTGGCGCTGTGGCTCAAGTGGTAGAGTACTAGCCTTGAACAAAAAGAACCTTAGGGACAGTGCCCAGGCCCTGAGTTCAATCCCCAGGACTGGCAAAAATAAAAAGGAAGAATGGACACAAGTTGCTCACACCCATAAGCCAAGCTAATCAGGAGGCTGAGATCTGAGGATCATGGTTGAAGCCAGCCTAGGCAGGAAAGTCCATGCCTTTTCCATAAACCACCTGTTAGGTTTTTTAAAAGAGGGGTTGCTGAGTAAGAACAGCACCACGCACATGGTATTCAGGTAAGGGGTAGGTTTAATCGTTCTGGCTGGCACCAGGCCACGTTGGCCCTCCATGCGGCTGGGAAAGAGCGTCTGGACCTGGGCTAGGCCTTATCTAGGGTATGGGTGGAGAAAGGTGTGGCCACATCAAATTCAGATGTGACCACAGCAGATGCAGATGTGACCTCTTCCAGGTGTGCCAGTTGCCTAGGTAACGCAGGTGCTGGGTGGAGACTTTGCTGCGAGGAGGGTGGAGTCTGCTCGCCATCCAGGAGCGGACCTTACATTCCAGCCTTAAACAATGATGAACTAGGGCTACTCCCACTGACAATAGGCTACTCCTGGCTGCTTCCTGCTGACATGGGGCGTCCACAATAGGGGTAAAAGGCTGAAATTGGGTTCCCTCCCAGAGAAGGCAGTGAGCAGCAGCTGTCCCTTGGTGGCTGGAAGTCGAGCTATGATTCAAATAGTAGAACACCAGATTTGAATGGAAAAAGCTAAGGGACAATGCCCAGGCCCTGAGTTCAAGCTCCAGTCGGGGGGAGGGGAGGGGAGGAGCACCGTCACCTCCTCTACTCAGGGATGACAGTTCCCCAGGGAGCTCACACAAAGGACACAGCCTCGCCAGAGCCACGGAGCCCAGGGGCGACACCCGGAGCCACAGAGGAGAGTCCGCACCTCCAGGGCCCCCGACCTCGCTCCAGTCTGGGCTCCTTCCCCACCCTCACAGAGGATCTGGTGGTCCCCCTGCTGGCCAGGCTCCAGGCGTTTTACTCTGGAAGGTTCTGCCCTAAAGAGCAGTCTGGGCTCTTGCTAAGGAATGGAAGAAGGCAGAGCTCTGTGCGCTGTGTGACCTGGGTCATGGGACTCGCTGGCCTCTTCCACACGGTGACCACCGCACACAGGACCGTGACACAGCGACCCCTTACGCGCTGCCCGGCCAGCACGCTGTGCGGCGCTGTCTGTGGGAAGGTGAACAGTCCCTGTGTCCGCAAGCCTGCTTTGTCCTGTGCCCAGCTGTTACTCTCGGACTGGAGAGGCCCAAAGCCAGCGCTCACTGGACGGGCAGGTGGCTTCCAGTCAGCCCTGGATCGGCGGCTGCGTACAGACAGACACTAGCTGACTGTCCACGTTGTGACCTGTGGAGCGTGGTTATGACCAGAGTGAACAGTGATGGCAGATCTCACCACACCTCTTTCTTGGGTATTAGCAATGTTTCTGTGTGTGTGTGTGTGTGTGTGTGTGTGTGTGTGTGTGTGTGTATGAAAGAGAGAGAGAGAGAGATGGTCCTGGGGCTTGAACTCAGGACCTGGGCACTGCCCCTGAGCTTTTGCCTTCCAGGCTAGCACGCTACCATTTGAACTGCAGCTCCACTTCTAGCTTTCTGGTGGTTCTTTGGAGGTAAGGGTTTCATGGACTTAACTGACTAGGCTGGCTTCAAACTGTGATCCATCCTCAGATCTCAGCCTGCTGAGTAGCTAGGATTATACACGTGAGCCACCAGCGCCTGGCTGATTTTTTTAATAAATGGTTTCCTGACAGTGGACTTGGCATGGGAGGTGTTCACTTTGTCAGCGCGGATTGTGTTAATCTGTTCGTGAGATTTGCACTGTCTTATGTGTGTGATGCTTCCATTAAAAGTTCACCTTAGCCAGGCACCGGTGGCTCACACCTGTCATCCTAGCTACTCAGGAGGCTGAGAACTGAGGATTGCAGTTCAAAGCCAGCCCAGGCAGGAAAGGCTGTGAGACTCCAATAAACTACCAGAAAACTGGAAGTGGCGCTGTGGCTCAAGCAGTAGAGCGCTAGCCTTGAACTGAAGAGCTGAGGGACAGCGCCCAGGCCCAGAGTTCAGGCCCCATGAAAAAAGTTTACCCTAAAAATTCACTTAGCTTTTTTTTTCTTTTTTGGGTCCGGTCATGGGGCCTGAACTCTGGGCCTGGGCGCTGTCCCTCAGCTCTTCAGCTCAAGGCTAGCGCTCTACCACTTGAGCCACAGCGCCACTTCCAGCTTTTTTCTTTTTGCTTATGTGGTGCTGAGGAATCGAACCGAGGGCCTCTGGCATGCAAGGCATGCGCTCTACCACTGAGCCACCTTCCCAGCCCTAAAAATACATTAGCTTTAAGAAAAGAAAAAAAAGACTAAGATCAATTTGAACTGAAGAGCTGAGGGGCAGCGCCCAGGCCCAGAGTTCAAGCCCCATGAAAAAAGTTTACCCTAAAAATACACTTAGCTTTAAGAAAAGAAAAAAAAAGAGGGCTGGGAAGGTGGCTCAGTGGTAGAGCGCTTGCCTTGCAAGCCTGAGGCTCTGGGTTCGATTCCTCAGCACCATATAAGCAAAAAGAAAAAAAAAGCCGGAAATGGCGCTGTGGCTCAAGTGGTAGAGCGCTAGCCTTGAGCTGAAGAGCTGAGGGACAGCACCCAGGCCCAGAGTTCAGGCCCCACAACCGGACCCAAAAAGAAAAAAAAAAAGACTAAGATCAACTGAGTCATAACAGTGTTGAAGCCGGGCGCTGGTGGCTCACGCCTGTAATCCTAGCTACTCAGGAGGCTGAGATCTGAGGATCGCGGTTCAAAGCCAGCCCGGGCAGGAGAAACCGTGAGACTCCTATCTCCAATAAACCACCAGAAAACCGGAAGTGGTGCTGTAGCTCAAGTGGTAGAGCGCTCGCCTTGAGCTGAAGAGCTGAGGGACAACGCCCAGGCCCAGAGTTCAAGCCCCACGACCGACAAAAAAAAAAAAAAAAAAAAAACAGTGTTGATCCTTCCCTAGCCAGGACAAAGGCATGGGTCTGCAGGGGCCAGAAGACCCAACTTGTTCAGCGAAAGCCCTAGAAAACTGAATTTTAAATTGCTTCAGAGAAACTGTAAGAGGAGTCAGAGGTCAGTGCAGATGCGGGACTGACAGCAAGCGCTCCAAGACCGCTTCCCGTGACTTCCCAGCCGTCGGCTCCTCTCAGCTATTTATCCACGGCAGCCCTCCGCCACTGAATGCAGCTCCCCGTGAGCACAGCGTGAACACAGAGCCCCACGGAAGCCCCCCCCCTCGCGGGACCTCACGCCTCTGATCCACCAGACCCGTGGCTGGCACTTGCTCTCGGCCCCTGGCTCCCACAATTAGTTTACTGCCCAGTGTATGGTCTTTTCCAGAACATTCTTTTTTTTGGGGGGGCGGGGTCTGTCGTGGGGCTTGAACTCTGGGCCTGGGCGCTGTCCCTCAGCTCTTCAGCTCAAGGCTAGCGCTCTACCAGTTGAACCACAGCACCAGTTCCGGCTTTTTTCTGCTTAGGTGGTGCTGAGGAATTGAACCCAGGGCCTCAGGCACGCAAGGCAAGCACTCTACCACTGAGCCACCTTCCCAGCCCAGAACATTCGTTGCACAGGACCACACACTGCATTTGCCTGTGACATTGCCAGTCACGGCTGTGCCCAGGCCGGCGTGTGGCCTTGCAAGATCCACTTGTACCCCGGCATCTGCGTGAGCGGCGCCCACCACTGGGAGCAAAGTCATGGGGAGCCAGCCTAAAGGAGGACAGGCTCTTTGGGGGCTCATTTCAAAGATGGGGGTTGTGATTACTTGGCTTTGGGATATGGAGGCAGAATCACATGATGGAAGATGCTGGAAAGAGAGGAGAAAGGACCAGGCTCCAAATTCCTTCTGGGAAAGGTTCCACCGCCTCCAGGCAGCACCCTGAGCCGGGGACCAAGCTTCAGCCCGGGGACCCCAGGGCAGCACCAGGTCCCCTGCAGGGCAGCGTGAGGGTGCTGGCAGGCTGCCCAGGTACGCGCTGGTTTGCTGTGGTTAGTGGCTGCCTTCAGGTACTGCGTTTGCCTGGGGTGAGTGAGAGGGAGCTCATTTCACTGGTCAGGCCCTCCCAAATCATTTCCAGAGGACATGGCCCCTCCCTCCCAGCCAGGAGCCAGCCCCACCCACCCCGCCCGCCTCTGCACTGGCAGACTTCCGTGTTGCTTTTGGCCTCTGCCCCCTAGTGGCAGAGACGCCTCACTGCCAGGTTCGTTGGCCTCCACTAAGAACAGATGATTCTGTAAAGGCTTCCTGGACTTACTTGCCTTCCGCTTTCCTTTTTTTTTTTTTTCTGGTAGAATATCTATTTGCATCATTTTTTTTGGGGGGGGGACTTGAACTCTGGGCCTGGGCACTGTCCCTCAGCTCTTCAGCTCAAGGCTAGCACTCTACCGCTTGAGCCACAGCACCACTTCCAGGTTTCTGGTGGTTTATTGGCGATCAGAGTCTCACGGACTTTTCCTGCCCCAGCTGGCTTTGAACCGTGATTCTCAGATCTCAGCCTCCTGAGTAGTTAGGATGACAGGCGTGAGCCACCAGCACGGGGCTTCTATTTGCATCTTATGAACACTTTTACTCCAGGACGTTTGAGAGTTTGAGAGGTGAACAGTCCGTAAATAAGATCTTCATCCCATGGATGTTTTGCAACTATTCTCTCCATCCACGTCCTGACTTCTCGGTCCGTATAGCAGGATCTTCAAAGGCCAGACATTTAAAATCTCTGGGTGCATCTAAACGGTCTGCTCCTGCTTTGATTTGCCTTCTTTTGATGTCATCTCCTGGAAGACACACACACACACACATCTTTTCTCAGATTTAGTTGTAGAAGTTCCATGGCCACCCCTTTTACACTTAAGTCTGTGATGAGGCCAATTTTATTGCTGCTGTGAGGTGTGAATCAGCATCTTGTTTTTTTCACATGTGGAAAATACGTTCACCAGCCCCATTTGTTTAAAAGCAACAACAACAACAAAACAGACTCCTTGTCCCAAGGCTTCCCGGTACAGCTGAGGGCTGTGCAGACGGGTGCTGGCCGGGGGAGGGTTCCATCTCCCATCCATTCAGATGCCCCGAGCCCTCTCCCACCCATCCTGGCCTTGATTCTCTTAACTCTTATGGTAATCACCAAAATCAACTGGCTCCAGTACCCACCCTGGTCCTTTTCCAGAATTACTTTGGTTACCTAAATCCATGTTCAAGTCCACTTGTCAACAAATACAGATTTGCTTGTTGCTGGGATGGGGTGGGTGTTATGACCAGATCCGTTTGAGAAGAATTTTTCACCTCACCAGCATCCATCTTTCCCATCCACAGGGGAATAAATCTCACCTAGAAAGAATTATTTTTTACATCTCCTTGGACTTTTTTTTAAAAAATTATTGCTGATCTTGTACAGATGTTGGATCTACAGCCAACTTTTTCCTATTTAGGGGACTATTACAAATTGTACTACTTTGAAAATTGCAATTTCTAGTACTTTTGTTTAGTATGGAGAAATATGGCTGATTTTTTTATATTAGCCATGTATCCTGTAACTCTTCTGAACTCAGTTATTAGTTCTAGTAGTTTGTAAAGTTCTTGAGGCTTTCTCCTTCTTTCCTTCTTTCTCCCTCCTTCCTTCTTTGCCAACACTAGGGCTTGAATTCAGGTTCTCATGTTTTTGTTCAGTATGCTTGCTTGACTGATTCTTTACCACTTGAGCCACACCTCCAGCCCAGCTTTTTGATGGTTAACTGGGGATAAGAGTCTCAGAGTTTTGTGCCGAAGCTGGCTTTAAACCATCAGATCTCAGCCTCCTGAGTAGCTAGGATTACTGGTGTGAGACGGTCTCCTCAGGCTTTTCTATATAGGTAGACATGTCATCTGCAAATACAATTTTACGTTTCCCTTTCTAGTCCTTGTGTCTCTGGTTGGTTTTTGTTTCTGGTGTTTTTCTTACCCTGTGGCCATGGTCAGGAACCGCAGCATGGTGCTTGCCTTTGCCTTATTCCCAAATCAGGGAAAGCATACAGTCTTCTCAGAAGCAAGATGCTGGCCTGGGCTTTGTGGGTATCTGTCGTCAGGCAGAGGGATGTGCCTTTCTGTCCCTAGTTTGGGGACAGCTCATCACAAATGGATTTGAATGTCATTTCTGTGGAGGACAGCACAGGCCACATTTACATCTGCTGACTCGGCTGGTCACACACTGAGGCTTTGTGCGATTGAACCAGCCTTGCACTGTAGGAGAAAGGCTTGAGGTGGAGTCACTATTTGATTTGATGTTTGCTGGGAATCCTCTCATGTCCATTTGTTCTCAGGTACTGTCCAGTGGTCT